TGAAAAGACTGGCTCGTATAACTTGACAATGTTAGCATAGAACAATAGACCATTGAGTGTACCCACTGATACTGTTAAATTGAGAGCAATCAGTAGAACCACAAGTAGTACACCCATCACTGCAAACAGAGCAATCCAAGCTATCATCGTGTAATTATTATGACAATGTCCACACTTGTTTGATCCCATTAGTAGACTGTATCCCTCTGTACATGATCCACACATCCTGTGTCCTCTATTATCCACACATTGAGTATGAGTGTGATTCAACTTGAAGGTAACAGGATTAGGAGAACAATAGAGGAGACAGTCCTCATTGATAATGCATGCATTAGGATTGGTTTCATTAGCATTGAAAAGTGTAGTGGTATGATATGTTCCAATCCACAGTAGACCATTGTGTGTAATGTTTAGAGTATTTATATCACATGTGACATTCTCTCTTGAAACACTTTGACTGCAAGTACAGGAACCTTGTGACTTATCTAATGTGAAACCAATGGGACACTCTTTAACAATGAAATTAAAGAAAATAATATTGTATGAAAACGGTGCTGGAGCTACGTGACTTTGATGTTTTCCTGTTTGAGTCAGCTTTGGTGTGTATTCAATTTCAATCAGTGAGCAAGTATTGGGAATATATGTTTGATGGAGCAAGAACTTGGTGTTATTAAGTATTTGTACTGTACCATCTGTGGGACTTTTTAATTCCAAGTAATTAAAGCCAAACAAAGCCACATAAGATATCAATGCTTGACCTGGAAAAATGTGTTGATCACTTACATGATGTAAACAGTTTTCATAACTAGTTGCAGTATGAGGATCACAAAAACATACCTCTATTGGATTGCCTGTCAAACTAATGTTTGGGTTTGTCAAATTGAACTGATTACTTTGTGTCATATCATATACCCCATACATATCACCACCGACCAGTCCAGCAGTATTATTTATTAATGTAAGAGGTATATATGGTACCATTAATTTTATGTCATTATATGTTGACAGTTCAGAATAGATCCCTCCACCTTTATAAGAAGCATGATTATCAATGAACTCCAAGTTAGCTGATGGTGATATTATCAATCGTGATGAGTCATTTATTGCTAATCCTCCTCCAACTACTCCAGTATTGTTCTTGAATATGAAATCATTTTTAATCATCACTAATGATCTTTCAAGTGTCAATCCTGTATAGGTACTGTTAGCAACAGTAACATTACTGAGACTAATAACATTACTGTTCATTATCTTATTTCCTCCATTTCCAATAAGTTCAGTATCTATTATATCAATTTGAAGGAATCTTAAAAATGTTGCATCAATGGATAAACCTAATTCATTGTCGTGCATCAAACATGATCTAATAACAATGTGATAGTTTACTGCTCCAGGTAAGTACTTTTCAGCATTAATCTGAAACCCGTACCAATTATTATAAAATTGATTGTCTTCAAATTGTATAACATTAGAAGCTAACCTACTACCAGGATATGTGCAATTATTTGAAGTCAAATTGTCACAAAATTCAATGTCAAAGCCTGCATTGACATCATTGTCATGAAATGATGAATTGATGATGAAAGAATTGAAAACACTATCGCATAATTTTAGTATCAATGGTCGTGCAGAACTAATATGATTGATGGTGATTGATACATTGTATGAGTTACCATGGTTAAGAACTAATATTGTTTCTTGCCCATTATTGAACCAAATCAAGTTAACATTAGTCAGTATCAATGAGTAATGGAGTAGTTCATCACTACATACTGGAAGAGGGTTATAGTAAATGTCTAATTCAATAGTGAAAACTGATGATGATATATTGACATCAAAAGCATTATATAACTCTATTGTGCCAAACATTGATCCAGAAAAAGAGCTATTAGTTATTGTGATATTTCTGGATGACAAAACCTCCATTGAACAATCAAAAAAATTTAATGAAATGTTAGAAATAGTGACATGATCACCGTGATATACTATAATGCTAGTTTTAGAAAATTCTTTCTTGCAAGCAATAACAGGAGACTGGTCCAGTCCATGTAGGGTAACATTCTTTACTGCAGTCACGTAAAGATTATAATATTCAATGTTAGTAGTTCCAATGAAGTAGAAGATAGTGTTATTGTATTGAGACATATTCCCAGCATACACTGATAAAGGATTACAAGGTGACTGAGTAACTGAACTGCAGTTATCAGACACATAATACTGACCAGAGGAGACACTGCAGGAGCTACTGAAGAATAAGAGAACAACCACTAACAGGAGAGACATAGCTATTGTCGAGACCAATGCACTGCTCAGACTGGGTGGACCAAATTTTCACAATCAATCCAATTATAAAATGTATACATACTTACAATTGAATTATCCATAGGAATCTGTTAATTGGAATTCAGTTTCTTGCATAGTGTATAGCTATATCTACTAAGATCGTTTTTCATTCATAGATCTAGTAGTACCTACAATAAATAAATGAAGCTAATATAGAAAAACAGCAACTTGTGATGAACTGGTCAGACCTTTGATCACTGCTGGTCAAGTAGAAACAGAATATAACTATGCT